TTTTTAACACTGCCAAAAGTAATTGTAAGTCTTTTTTCATCACAGGATTCATGAAATGTTTTAGTCGGAATATGCCGCGACAATTCAGTTAATTTGATCAAGTCTATCTTGTTTCTTTGATTTGATTGAATTACGAGATAAGGAACCTTTTTTAGAATTAATAACCTTAGAATCTAAACTTGATTTTGAATGAATTACTGTTACGTCATTGTTACTAAATGAATAATATTCAAGAATTTGAATATAGAAATCATGGTCAAAACAATTCTTGAATGGTTTGATTTTCTGAAAGAAATCTTTGGGACTAATTGTTTCAAAATTTATAAGCGGCAAAAATGGTCGAATCATTGTTCTAAATGTTGAGATTTCGTTGAGCGTCCATTTTGTAGTATCCAACGGTAATTCATCATCAGATTGCGCAATAATCCATTCCATTAATTTATCCCAAATTAAAATAGAATTCTCAGAATACCTTTTTTTGTTTTTCTCAAGTAGATCAATAAGAATTTCTTATTTGATTGTTGTGAAATCATCAGCTTTGAAGATTATGAAGGCATCATTTCGAGTAACTATCTTACAGAATCGGTTTAATTTACTCAATTGAGTAATTTGAGATACAACATTTTGTATGAGAATAAAATTCTTCTTTAATGATTTTTTATTGTCCAGAAGATAATTTTCAATAGAATCACACAGATTGTTAAGGCACAGTTCATCAGCCGCAATTAAAGTCGCAACATTTGTTTTAACATCATTATTGGTGAAATCAATACTACTACTATAGATATATCTAATAAAATTGAATAAATAAATTCATTTATTTAAATAATTGTTCAAGGAGACAGTATAGAATAAGATAAATATTCATATTCTTACTTTAAAATAATATCGAATACTTTAACAGAGATGTTCGGTTTATTAATTTAATAACGTTATTTTCTGTTCTTTGCCAATTGTTTGATAAAGCGGTACGAAAATAAAGTGAACGAATCTTTAAAATTAAAGAGTGTGCTTTAAAAACTTTTGTATCGGGATCTTCTCCAACTAAGATTTCCGTATCAGAAAATTCACCAGAATAGAGAATATCGTTGTATTCATTATATTATGTATTTAATAGATTGTTATTGTTAGTGGACATTTATGAAATTTCAAGAGTTTGGATGTGGGATGCAAGGATGAATGATATTTAAACGGAAACATTATATCATGATGCAGATCTTTGGGCGAAGTTTATTCAATACCATCATTACAAAATATGATTATGCAAGCCAATTTCGAGTATAGTCATTGCAAGTTAAAACCAATAACATCCTTTAATAAATTTATCTTCAGATGCACTCAGTTAAACTAATCTCTGAATCTAATTATTACAAGATAATTCCACTCACGAGATGATAATTTCCGTTCAAAAAATTCTGTCAATTTTAGTTAGTCTTTGTAGATCAATTTTGGCATGGGTTTGAATATTTCTATTTTATTTATAAATTTCAAAAACTAATAAGTAATAGTTACTCGGCACGAAGTGCCGAGTAACTGTTTTATCGGTTTACACAAAATAGATTAATTTAAAAACTTTATTAGACGATTTTTTTAACTTTATTAAACCATTTTTCATTAAGAACAAATGATATATCTTTTTTTCTTTTACGCATCTTGTTTTTCCAAAAAAGTTTTTTTTTCTTTTGATAAATGACACAAAATATTTCATCCAAAGGTAATCAATTACCCTCTATTAGCACT